TTCAACTTAAAGTCATCAGCTACATTAGCCCCTAACAAGAGAGTCAGCCTGTTCTTTGATGCTTTGAAGCCAGGTATTGACTTCTCCTCTCTAGCTATGAAAGTCATAGATGGCCACTTCTTCCAATATAGAACAACAGAACAAAACACTACCCTGTCTTGAGACATGCTAACAATCTTTTCTATGTTTTAGCCCATTGTTGCAGCCATTGTGTCAGTCCATCTCATTGATGGTCTTCCTCCATAAGAGTCAAAGTATAACCTTGAGTATATCCCACCTGAATTTGGAGACCATCTCAAGAATAGATTTGATGCATTGAACAGTAATGACTAAAGACCAGATGAGTTGTGGGATGACATTAAGGGCATCTATATCTATATATATATATCTCTATAGATATGTGTGTGTGTATATATATATATTCCATATATATATATAAAGAAAGAAAACCCTATGCGGCAGAGTTTTATTCTGACACACATGAGGTCATCATGAGTAGGAGCTGATTCAACAGCAACTGGTTGGTTGGTTGGTTGGTTATGCTGGCCAGGCACAGTTTCTCTGAGCAAAGCAGGGGATTGACTTTTATGTAAGGTTTTGGGGAAGTGTGGAGTTGAGAGACTGGTAGGCTTTTAGACATGGGAAGTGATTGATACTAGCTATAGGAGCCTAGTCCCTTGGGTGAGACTGTTGTTGATTGATTGGCATTCAGAGCATTTTCACTGATGTCATTCTCTTCCCTACAGGCTGACTTTAGAAGTGAGAGCTTCTCTTTTCCTTATTGATACTGTATACGAATGAGATTTGCTTGTAATTTTCATTTCTCCTGCTGGATTTATCAGATTTCACACTGATAGTGTGACTTACCTGGGTCCTACAAACCTCATAAACAGCCAGGCAGTGTTTCGTTCTGTTGTACATAGGGTTGCTATGAGTTGGAACTGACCCGATGGCACCTAACAACAACAAACAGCAAGAAGTCTCGTAACATGAGTTGGAGTATGTCCCACTTTTCCTATTTTTTGGAGGGTTTGAGTAACTTTGGAATTATTTCTTCTTTGAATGTTTAGTAGAATTCACTGGGAAAGACATATTGGCATAGAATTTTATTAGTGGGAGTTTCTTTTTTTAATTACAGATTTGATATCTTTAATGGCCATGAGACTATTCTAGTTATTATATTCTCTTAAATCAGTTTGAGTGTTATATTTTTTCCATGAATTTATCATTTTGCCTAGATTTTCAAGTTCTTTTTTTGGCGTAAGAGTCTTTATAATAGCCTCTTAACTTTTTAATAATACAGCATCATAGTGATGTGCCACTTTTCTTTCCCTATTTTGATTATATGTGCCGGCTGTCCCTCTCTCTCTCTCTTTCTCCATCAGTCAGAGGTTGTCAATATTATTAGTCGTTTAAAAGAACCAACTTTTGCTTTGTTGATCCTCTATGTTGTATGTACATTTTCCAGTTCATTGATTTTTTTCTGTATTATTTTTTTCCTTCTCATTTCTTTGGGTATATTTTGCTGTCATTTTGTTTTCTAAAATCATGAGATAAATTTTTGGCTAATCATAATTTTCAGCTTTTCTTCTATTCTAATATCTAGCTATCCATTTATTACCTATCTATCTATCTATCTGTCTATCTACTTACCAGTGATTCTGAAGATGGTGCAGAATCAGGAAAACTTTTGTTCTGTTGCACATAGGGTCCCTATGAATCAGAGCAAATTTGACGGCACCTAACAACAACAATCTATTTGCTATAATTTCTCCTTTAAGTACTGTTTTAGTTGCATTCTATAAGTTTTGATATAGGCTGCTATATTTCATCAGCTCTAACATGCTTTTTATGGTAAGATGCTTCATTATATTGTTTACCTCCAAGAAAGAAAAACCACTACCACTAAAACTATGATTTTCTTATCACTTAGAATTTGTACTTGATACTTGTTAAAAGTGCTATTAGACTTTAATGTACGTTTTATTATATTATACTTCTATATGCTCAACAAAGGGAAAATATAAATGAAATGAATTGGATACAGTTTTTCTAAATTTTTTTCACATCAAAGTCCAATTCCTCTGAATCATTTTTCAGCCTGGAGTCATTGAAGCCCTTATTTTCTGTACAACATTACCCTGTCCCGCCAGATATTTTTGATGCAGCATTTTTTGAAAGAATCCTTAGAGAAACTATTAGTATTAGGCCTTCAAGTGGCTCCCAAACCATTTGGTTCCTAGAGCTAAAGAGTATTCCAGTACGGTCTTTGAGATTTTCTCTCAAACCACTGATACCTATTCTTCAAGTTTTTACAATGGTGCTTCAGATATTTGGACATGTGCAGACAGTGGCATATATGACACAACCCAACTTTGCTGACGTCAGTTGTGAGAAGGCATTGATTACAGGAAATCCCAATTAGAGAGACGCAAACATGTGAAAAAAGATATGCATCCTCAAATGAATAAATATGTCATTTCATTATAATTTAGTTCAAAATATTTTCTGATTTCCATCACTATTTGTTCTTGGGCTTATTGGTTATTTATTTATATAACTTTATGATTTTAATTGATGAATGTTATTTTTAATAATAAGCATCTACCATATACTTAAAGTTACAGATTTTTAATCTTTGAAACAAGTATTCAAAAACTGTAACATTATCCCCATTTTGTAGATGAGGAAATAGAGGATAAAAGGAAGGAGTAGCTAGCTCAATGTCACATAGCTAGTAAGTGGTGAACACGGGACTTAAACCCAAGTCTGTCTGGCTGGAAGTCCACACTCTTTCTAACGCACCTCTGTGTTACCTCTGTATCATTTCTTAGGATATTTAAAGCAGATTCTTCACAAACTGTTTCACTCAGAGTACAAGTCAGCTTTTAGATGGGACTATTTCAGGGAATATTGTCACAAATATTTGCCCTTGGGATATAAGTTAAAGGTATTCTGAATGTGCCTAGGGATAGATATGGACTTTATCCTCATCAGTAATTAATTGTGACCTGTGTAAAATTCTTTTGACAGCTAAATACAAGAATGTTTTGATTTCTAAGTATCATCAGCATTTCTTTCCATGAGTGAGATTAAAACACTCAGAGCATCATAATGATTACACTTGGCTCCTCTCCCTGAGCTTAGAGAGAAATGAGCCATCTCGGTTCCCGAGGTCAGAGTCTTGGGGGAGACGGATCAGTGAGGGACAGTCTGCTTCCTGTGGACCGAGATTGAGGAGCAAGAAGTAAATAAGGCTGTGCTGTGGGCATTGCACGGAGCAGAAAGGTCATTAAGCGATTGAGTCCTAATTTACCCCAACTCCTTCCTCTGGAAGCCAGGGACCTGGAACACTTGTCCATCAGAATCCTTTCTATGCCACCTGCATGGTCCAAACCAAAACGGGGCACTTCAAACATTGGGTGCTTTAAAAAGAGAAGGGTAGTTGATTTGGAGGTTCTGTGGATGAAACAGAAAGCTTGTAAGAGATGTGATGGTAATGGCTGCCCTTGGACCAAGTGAGGCATCAGGTTCGTGGAAAAATCTAGTTTGACTTGTACAGTTTCAACTTGCCTTTTTATAGCCTCTAAAGAGCTTGCTGTAAGAGAGTGGGCTGTCTGTTGTCTATAAATGTTTTATGTTTATTGTGAATTTTATATAAGTTATGAGTGTTTTATTGTCAGTCTTCTTTCTCCCTCAGTGTTGAGCTTGTCCTCTACATTTATAAGGGTACATTGTTAGCTTTTAAGATTCTTGTCTCACTTGGATCAAAAAAAAAAAAGTCCAAACAAATAAACCAGTTGCTCTAGAGTCAGTTTCAACTCATGGCAACACAATGTGTATCAGAGTAGAACTGTGCTTGTAGGATTTACAATGGCTGATTTTTTGGAAGTAGATCACCAGGACTTTCTTTCAGGGCACCTCTGTGTGGGTTAGAATCACCAACCTTTTGGTTACTAGTCGAGTGCTTAACTGTTTGTGTCACCCAGGACTTCCAGTTTGATCCAGGATTATTTAATTAGTCTGTGGCTTAGTTAATTAACAGAAATTATCTGTTTAATCTCATTATAAGAAAAAAAATCAGGTTTCCTTTTCCTCTTCCTCTTCAAAAAATACTATTATTATTTTCAGTACACGTCCAAAAACTGGTTTATGAAAGAATGTTTTCTAGATGCCCAGAAAGGGCCTGCCATTCTAATAGCTGTATCACTACTTACCAGTCAGTACTTAACCGGTGCCAGTTGCCATCGAGTCAACTCCAACTCATGGCAACCCCATGTGTGTTAGAGTAGAACGGTGCACCATAGAGTTTTATATATATATATATAGTACTTTAGATGAAGGTTTACAGAACATATAGTTTCTCATTAAACAGTCAGTACACATATTGTTTTATGGGATTGGTTAACAACCCCACGACATGTCAATACTCTCCCTTCTCGACCTTGGAGGACCGCCATAGGGTTTTCAATGGCTGATCGTTCGCGAGTAGATCACCGACCCCTTCTTCCGAAGCACCGCTGGGTGGACTCAAACCTCCAAACTTTCAGTTAGCAGCTGAGTGCATTAACCTTTTGCACTACCCGGGGACCCCTGTCAGTACTTGACACAGTGTCAATTCTCAAACGGTTTGTTAAAGAATAAGTACTAAAGAGGAAAAGAACAAGAGCTTATAATGCTTTCCCTATTTATTGCTTCTAGTATTTACGTCTCTCTGTATCTAGAATTTAGAATTCTTTCAGTCAACAAATATTTATTGAGTAGCTACTATATGGCAAGCATTATGCTAAACAAATAAACAAACAGCCAGTTGCCATTAAGTCAATTCTGACTCCTGGTGACCCCATGTGTGCAGAGTAGAACTGCGCTTGATAGGGTTTTCAAGGCTTTGACTTTTCAGAAGCAGATCGCCAATCCTTTCCTCCAAAGCACCTCTCGGTAGGTTCAAACTGTCAACCTTTCTGGTTAGTAGCCGAGCACTTAACTGTTTGTGTCAGTCAGGGACATATGCTGAGTGCTGGAAATTCAACTGAGAGCAAGACAGACCATTTCTCTGTTCTACGTGAAGCTCACAGACTAGCAGAGGGAAATGGACCATTAAGCAAGCAATTATAGAGTCATATTGCTATGAATATACATCACTGCAAAAATAGTACTACTAGTAGGCTAGGGATCTCTTCCTTTTTGTACCTCTTTTCCTATATGGAAATACTTTGCTCCAGAGAAAGGTTTCCCAACTCCGGCACTTTTGTCGTCTTGGGCCAGATAATTCTTTGTTGTGGGGACTTGTCCTGTGCATTGTAGGATGATTAACCGCATCCTTGACCTCAACCCACTAGAGGCCTCTACCACCTCATCTCCCAGTTGCTACAACCAAAAATGTCTCCAAACATTCCCTGGGGGGCAAAATCACTCCTGGTCAAGAACCCCTGTTTTAGAGGCATGGACCTGTCAGGGAATAAAAATGTTCTAATGAAGCTGAAATTCATTAGGATGGCTAATGTTATTTTTAAATCGCACTTTTTCTTGAGAACCATTGATGTGTTTTACCTCTATTTTTGCTTTTAAAATTTGTGCTTCTGTGTTCTCTCTCCTGGTTTGAAGGTAAGGGTGGGAGACATTGTGAAGGCCATCAATGGGCAGTTCCTTCCTGCAGACATGTTCTTGGTTTCTTCCAGGTGAGTTATATTAGTGGACATTTAAGGAACTTCTATTCTGAATTAGAAACTTTAAGAAAAACAAAGGCAGAAGCCATCTTCCTTTCCTCATGCCTTTCACTGTCCTTTCCATGATTTTGTATAGGCATACCTTGGAGATATTGAAGGTTCAATTCCAGATCACTGCAATAAAATGAATATCACAATAAAACAAGTTACATGAATTTTTTTGGTTTCCCAGTGCATATAAAAGTATGTTTACACTATACCGTCGTCTAGTAAGTGTGCATTAGCATTACGTCTAAAAAAAATTGCACATACCTTAATTTAAAAATATTTTCTAGTTAAAAAATGCTAAACATCATCTGAGCCTTCAGTGAGTTATAATCTTTTTGCTGGTGGAGGATCATGCCTTGATGTTGATGGTTGCTGACTGGTCAGGTGGTGGTTACTGAAGGTTGGGGTGGCTGTGGCAATTTCTTAAAATAAGACAATAAAGTTTACCACATCAATCGACTCTTCCTTTAACAAAAGATTTCTCTTTAGCTTGTGATGCTGTTTGATAGCATTTTACCCACGGTAGAACGTCTTTCAGAATTGGAGTCAATCCTCTCAAACTCTGCCACTGCTTTATCAACTAGGTTTATGTAATGTTCTAAAATCCTTTATTGTTGTTTTAACAGTATTCACGGCATCTTCACCAGGAGCTGATTCCATCTCAAGAAAACACTTTTCTTCCTCATCCATAAGAAGCATCTCATCATCCATTAAAGTTTTATCAAGAGATTTCAGCAATTCAGTCACATCTTCAGGCTTCACTTTTAATTCTAGTTCTCTTGCTATTTTCACCACATCTGCAGTTACTTCCTCCACCGAAGTTTTGAACCCCTCAAAGTCATCCATAAGGGTTGGAATCAACTTCTTCCAAACTCCTGTTAATGTTGATATTTTGACCTCCTCCCATGAATCATGAATGTTCTTAATGGCATCTAGAATGGTGTGATGGTTATGATTGTGTGTCAACTTGGCTAGGTCATGATTCTCAGTGTTTTGGCAGTCGTATAATGTTGTGATGATTTCGCTGTTGATGATCACCCCAATGATGGGATCTGCTGTGAAGGGCTCGAGGGGCTTTTGCTCATTCTGGATCCTGAAGCTGGCTCCTGTCCGTCTGACCTCTGGTTCTTGGGACCTAAGCTAGCAGCTTACCTGCACTTTTCCCTGCCTATCTTGTGTTTCATTAATCTTCACAGCCTGTGAGTAACAGCCCTGCTCTCCGGCCTGTCATTCTCGGGTTTGCCAGCCCCTGTGGCTACGTGAATCAAGAGAAGCCTCTTTCCTGACCCATGGACTTGGGATGATACAGCCTGTACAACCTCGTGAGCCATTTCCTTGATATAAATCTCTCTTTCTATATATATGTATTTATATGCTTTACTGGTTTTACTTCTCTAGAGAACTCAGCCTAAGACAAATGGTGGATCCTTTCCAGAAGGTTTTCAATTTACTTTGCCCAGATCCATCAGATGATCACTATGTATGGCAGCTATAGCCTTACAAAATGTATTTCTTAAGTAATAAGACTTGAAATTCAAAATTACTCCTTGATCCATGGGCTGCAGAATGGAAGTTGTGTTAGCAGGCATAAAAACAACAGTAATCTCTTTATACATCTCCATCAGAGCTCTTGGGTGACCAGCTGCATAGTCAATGAGAGGTATTATTTTGAAAGGAATCTCTTTTTCTGAGCAGTAGTTCTCAACAGCGGGCTTAAAATATTCAGTAAACCATGATACAAACAGGTGTGCTGTCATCCAGGCTTTGTTGTTCCATTTATAGAGCACAGGCAGAGTAGATTAAGCATAATTCTTAAGGGCCCTCCCTAGGATTTTCAGAATGGTAAACGAGTATTGGCTTCAACTTAAAGTCATCAGCTACATTAGCCCCTAACAAGAGAGTCAGCCTGTTCTTTGATGCTTTGAAGCCAGGTATTGACTTCTCCTCTCTAGCCATGAAAGTCATAGATGGCCACTTCTTCCAATATAAGGCTGTTTCATCTACATGGAAAACCTGTAGTTTAGTGTAGCCACCTTCATCAATTATCTTAGCCAGATCTTCTAGATAACTTGCTGTAGCTTCTACATCAGCATTTGCAGCTTCACCTTGCACTTTTATGTTATGGAGATGCCTTCTTTCCTTAAACCTCAGGAACTACCTCTGCTAGCTTCAAAATTTTCTTCTGTAGCTTCGTCACCTTTCTCAGCCTTCATAGAATTGAAGAGAGTTAGGACCTTGATCTGGATTAGGCTTTGGTTTAAGGGAATGTTGTGGCTGGTTTGATCTTCTATCCAGACCACTAAAACTTTCTCCATATCAGCAATAAGGTTGTTTTGCTTTCTTATCATTCGTGTGTTCACTGGAATAGCACTCTTAATTTCCATTGCATTCACAATTTGGCTGTTTGGCACAAGAGGCGTAACCCTTAGCCTGTCTTGGCTTTGGACATGCCTTCCTCACTAAGCTTAATCATTTCTAGCTTTTGATTTAAGTGAGAGACCTGAAACTCTTCCTTTCACTTGAACACTTAGAGGCCATTGTAGGGTTATTAATTTGGTCTAATTTCAATATTGTCATGTCTTAGGCAATAGGGAGACCCGAGGAAAGGGAGGCAGACAGGGGGAACGGCCAGTCAGTGGAGCAGTCAAAACACATACAACGTTTAACTATTAAGGTCACCATCTTATCAATGCAATTTGTGGTGCCCCTAAACAATTACAATAGTAACATCAAAGATCACTGATCACAGATCACCATAACAGATATAATAATAATGAAAAAGTTTGAAACATTGTGAGAATTACCAAAATGTGACACACAGACACGAAGTGAACACATGCAGTTGGAAAAATGGTGCTGATAGACTTGCTGGATGCAGGGTTGCCACTAACCTTCAATCTGTAAAAAATGCAATATCTGCCAAGCACAGTAAAGTGAAGCACAACAAAATTATGTATGCCTGTATACCAGAGGTTGCAAACTTTCTGTAAAGGGTGACAGAGTAATTATTTTTAACTTTGTGGGTCGTGCAGCCTCTGTTGCAGCTATTCAACTCTGCCATTTTATCAAGGGAAGCAGCCATAGACAATATGTAAAAAATGATGTTCCTGTGTTTCAATAAAACTTTATTTACAAAAAAAGTCAATTCCTCTTCTTAATGTTTATTACCTTTTCTTCACTTACCCTGGATATATTTTCTTCTATCCTAATTCTTAGATTAATTCCATCCCTTCTACAATTTCTGTAGCTATTCAACTAAACTAAAAGAAAACTTTACATTTATTATGGCAATCTTAAGGAATCTTGGGAAGAGAGACAGGTTAGTTCTGGATCCATTCTTCAAGCTTCTTGAAAAGCAGTATACCAACACAATCTTTACTTTCTACCACTTCCTTCTATTGCCATTAATGTCAATCAACAAAGGAATTTACTGTTGATGATTCCTGTTTCCTCTTGGATTTGGCTAGGATTATGGGTTTGGCAAAGGAGCCCTGGTGGCTTAATGGTTAAGAGCTAGGCTGCTAACAGAAAGCTTGGTGGTTGGAACCCACCAGCTACTCTGTGGGAGAAAGATGTGGCAGTTTGCTTCCATAAAAGATTTACAACGGTGGTCCAAGATGATGGAGTAGTCAGACACTTCATAAAATCCCTCTTACAGCAAAGACTCGAGACAACAAGTGAATAAGATATAGATGACAACTTTGGAACCCTGAGCATCAAAGACAAGGCTGAAGAATTGAACTGAGCACCAAGTGGAAGGAGAGACAGTACAAAACCGTGGACATGGAGAATTATGGATCAGTGGTACCCTGCTAGCTGAACCTGCACAGTGTGGCCATATTGAGACAAAGCAAGAAGCATTCCCAGCAGAAACCCCCTCACCTCGTGCAGCCAAGCAGGAGTGACTCTGCATTCACATCCAGAGCCAGGGAGGAGTGCTTCTTGCCCTGCGAAAGTTGAGTGCACACACCTCACCCACTGTGCACACCCCAATCCCCTGTGCCAGAGGCCTGTGGGCCTGTGGGGACCCTTTCACCCCCCTTGCCTATTCCTCCTCTCCACACACGATTACAGTATGACAGCACCCACCACTGCCCCACCTTCTAAGCTGGGAACCTATGGACTAGAGTTACCTGCCCCATTGCTCAGCCACTCGTGCTGGGGGCCCACAGATGTGCAGCACCTCCTACTCCCTCCAGCAATCTGCACCAGGGGGCTGAGGACCAACAGTGCCTTCCACTCCCTCTGGCCACCCATGCTGGGGCCCTGAGGGCTGATGGTGCCTCCCACTTCATCTGGTCACCCATGCTGGGAGCCTGAGGGCTGGCAGCATCTCCCACTCCCTCTAGCTGCCCACACTGGGGGCTTGAGGCCGGTGGTGCTTACCACTCCCTACAGCCACCTGTGCCCGGGGCCTGAGGACTGGTGGTGCCTCCTCCTTCCTCCAGTAACCTGCACCAGGGACCCGAGGAATGGCTGTGCTGGGGGCCTGAGGACTGCTTCACACCCTCCTTCATGATGTGCTATAGTGGACAGGAGCACACCCTCCAACTGGGCACCTGTAGGCAAGCAACAGTCCCCCTGTCTTGCCCCCCAGTCACCCTCCCCTACAACTGGAGGCTTATTCCTGCTCCAGACACTCACACACAGCTCTGCCTGCCTGGGACCATTGGTGAGAGTTTCTGAACCACCCACTTAGTGACTGATGACCTGGGCACCCTCACCTTGACCACCTGGTAATTGACAAGGTGCACACACAACACTGAGCCAATGGCCAGGGAGAACACCTCCTGCACCCACAGACAGGTGGCCAGCCAGCCGGATACATCACCTCACCAGAAATGCCAGCTACATCCTCAGCAGCCTTGCAAGACGAGCAAACAGAGACCCGTGCTCACACACCCAGTTGCTGCTCCACCCACCTGGAGACAGGAGGTGAGAGCTTCAATGCAGACAGATTAGCC